TATTCCTCCTCTTGAATTTTGACCTCCTCTTCTTTTTCTTTCTCTTTATAATTTACTGAAAATTAGATATGTATTAGACATTGCCAGTATTATTCTATCAAATCACGCAGTCTAAATATCCACAACCACCAAGCATTTTTAATGCAAGGAGAAACTTAGGTAACTTTAAACACAAATAAAACAAATGGACCTGTCCCTCGAGCATAGACGTCGGAACTAGGGGTGCGGGGGGTGCGGCCGCACCCCCTCCGCGTGTGCCGGGAGCAGGCCCGTCCTAAGGGCTGTGCGACCTGTGCCGTCGCACAGGGCCTCGCACCACACAGGGGCCTCGCAATCTTCCTTCCTTTTATTTTATTTTATAAATACACTAGTTCAAGGGTCCCCAAAGGGCAGACTGCACTCCAAATTTGGAACCCTAAACCCCTTTCTCTGGACCTCTTTGATTTCGTTTGATCAAAAGAACATTTTTACAAGTAAAGTCAAATTTTCACCAAAAGCGATTTGTAAACAGGCAGGCGCGCGGGCAGCTATGTATGCAACGGGTCCTCCGAAAAAACTGTCAGATAACTTTAGCAGTGTCTGAGTGAGATACAAAGAAAGTAACGGGAATGATCGCAGTGTAGGAGAGATGGATACTCGCGGAGGAGGAGCAGTGAGACAGGTGTGAGCAGAGGAGCAGACCCCTTTGTGTGAGCAGAGGAGGAGGAGGAGGAGGAGGAGGAGGAGGAGGAGCAGTGATACAGGTGTGAGCAGAGGAGCAGACCCCTTTGTGTGAGCAGAGGAGGAGGAGGAGGATCAGCGGTGTGACAGGTGTGTGAGCGCTGCTATTGCCAATGTTTAGTCCGAATATCCACATCAAAAACATATTTTTAAAAGCATTAGCAAACACACTGTATGTCTAGCTTTAGCTAGCTGGAGTGTTTTTGTTGTGGTCAGAGTGTGTGGAGGAGGAGGTGAAGAGTATTTTGTTGTCAGTGTGGAGGAGGAGGAGTGTATGTTGTCAGAGTGTGTGGAGGCATGGCAAAAACGTTATTTGATGAGAAAAAAATAATATTGACTCCGCCTCATAGCCATTTTGGCGCATTTTGCCAAAATCTAACTATTAGAAGAAAAAGACTCCTTTTGGTTCAATCTTTTGAGTTGCTCTACCATTTTGCCACAGGACGAAAGAGACATGTCAGCTAAAAAGACCGCGACCAATATTGCACGTAGAGTGTGTGTGCGTGTGTACGTGCGCGCGCCAAACGCTGCATAGGAGCGAAGACACTCGGTTACACGCGTGCTGATCTCGTCAAGCACCGCGCGAGGTGGTGCTGAATTCATGTCAAAGATTATAACAGGAAAAACTTTCCTCAGATCTGGGAAAAAAGTGTCAGGGCAGGGCCTCGCGTTTCGAGTTCGCACAGGGCCTCGCACCCCCCTTGGGACGGGCCTGGCCGGGAGCGAGAAGTTATTACTATCCTGCGTTCCTTGCAGCCCAAAACCCGCTCCATGCTGTCGGAGAAGCTTATGAAGCTCTGTCTGGCTAACATCTGTCGCAGCCTCTGAGCGCTCTTTCTCAGCCTTGCGCAGATTAGAGACCTGGCTACACCAGTGACGTGCGGTGGGGGATCAATCATGTGTTCATATGATTATACATCATATAAACCAACAGGACCTACAGGAACAGGAGCGGCTTATACACAATTTGTTTGGCTACAGCAGAATATGATTTAATGTCTGCATTGTTTTCTCATACAAAACGCAAACGTTTGTAAAAAGTACAAAGTGTGTTATGGGCCTTACCTTAGGTATTAATGAACAGCACAGACCACTTCAGTTAGGACCAGTTTCATGTTTAAGTCCAGATAATAGTTTGAGCACAGACATGTAATCCTCCATTTGGAAATAAGTTCAATGAGTTTTAAAAAGTAAAAAAAACGGGTGTCTCCTCCGTAAACTCCGAGTTTTGCTGCTGCCGACTCCCGGGTAAATCCAATTTCTAAATTCAACCTTACCCTTCACCTCCTTTTCTTATGATTCATATCATCATTGGAAGCAAAACATTACTCTAAGTGCATTTTAAATTATCTTAAAATGTATTATAGGTATGTTAGCCAAACCTGTAGCTGCCCTTAGCAGAAGAAGAACAAGAAAGGAGCTTTCTGATGGAATTGGATGCAGCCAAAGTTTGGGCTCACAAGCGCCCCCTTGAGGCTTTCCTCACTTACAAGCAGTGGTTGAGCGCGATTAAGACCCATATTTGCTTCAAAAACACAATTTATGAGCCATCCTCTTAAATGTAAACATGTTGATTGTAAATTAAATATTTTTGGACTTTTTAAACTGTGATAAACAGAGAAAACAGTTTGATAGCACCTCACAGGACTCTCCCTGTGAGCTGTTGCTTTTTACGTCTCCCAAGAGAGGCTCGCCTCACAGCACCGCTCTGTCAAATCTGCGATTTCAAGGTATAAATAAATGAAATAAGGCACAGCACAAATCACTTGATAAAGTGACCAAACATTATTGTATCCATTTTATTACTTTTCTTTCTATGATCTTAGGTGAGGGCCTTACCTGCCTCATCTGACCGCACGTCACTGGGCTACACAACACAATGAAGCCACCGGAGAGACTGACGCATGAATGCGTATTGAAAAAAAAAAAGTTCAGTTTGATAAGTGACTCGCTTGATAAATATTGTTTATTTTGTTTTTCTTAACAATTAAGATGGTATGTTATTATCCAGTGTAATCCAAGTATGAGTCTCTCCCTCGACTCTCCCAACAAAAACCCGCCCCCCCTCTCAGAAAATAGTTCCGACGTCCATGGAGTGTCTATGCTTCGTGTGTCTCTGGTTCTGTCCAAGTATGATCCGCGTGTCTCGCGTGTCTCCGCCTGTCTGGGTTCTGTCTGCGTATATGTAAATGTAAATGTAAATGTCTGTCTGTGGTTCTGTTCGGGTGTCTATGGTCCTGTCTGTGGTTCTGTTCGGGTGTCTATGGTCCTGTCTGTGGTTCTGTTCGCGTGTCTATGGTCCGCGCTCGGAGCCCAGACGGCAGTGCGTTCACTGAGCTGTCAGAGCGGCGGGCCCAGAGCGGAGGATGTAACGTAACGTTCGGTTTATCAAAACATATCACAATATTTAACGTATAACACTAGTGAATTTCACCTCGATTTTCCAGACATTAAAGACAAGATGTTATATAATAATTGTTTAATGAAAAAACAATTTTGCCACAAGCAACCAAAAGATGTGCCTCAGACAAGAATCGAACCTGGGTTCTCCAGGTCCCAGTCTTTGATGCTATCCATTCGGCCAACATAGCAGCTCTGGGCTGAAAGGTTTGCACGCAGTATGATAACTGAGCGTCTAGTCGCTGGCAGAGCTAAAGCGGACTTAGCCTGCCACCTTGTGGCAATAAGATGTACTATTTTTCACGCAGCTGCGTGATTCCCGAGAAGCGCGAATGAAGACGACAAAACGGAATGGGACCCACTGTAGCCTTAACAAAACCATTGAAATCACCAACACAGGTCAGAGAATCAACAGTTAAAACACATGAAGAATATAAAGCACACACAGAAGAAAATGCCCATACATGTTGTAGAATGCTAAAGTGTCCTGATCATCACCAATCCTTTCTGTTGGACACTAACTGTCCAACAAGACCCTCCTGCATCGACAAGGAAAAACTCTTAAAAAACCCAGTGGGAAAAAGTGAGAAACCTTGGAGGAGAACTAGGGAAACCCACAGGGAGGGAGACCCATATGAGAAAGGGATCCGCTCCTCCGGACGGACAGGCTAATGATCCAGGACCTAAGCTAGCTACAGAACGTGGACCAGTGGACGCTGAACGTGGACAGGTCCGGTGCAGGACTGAAGCACTCCCAGGCGGGTCGGGCGGGGCAGTCCGCAGGTGTAGATGGAGGAGGCCAGGCTCAGAGATCCCGTCATCGTACCATGGAACAGACAATGGGACAACGGGTGAATAGCAATGAACAAACTACAGTCAGAATCCTAAAAATGCTAAACAGATAAAGTAGGAAGGAGGAGAGGATAGTGCTGTTACCATACTTCTCCCAGCAAACTGACTCCCTATTTATTTATTTACTGTGTTATTGTTGGGACCGTCTTACCGTCAGCCTCGGAATAAACAAGGGGACAATATAAAATGTGTTTGCAGTTATTATAAACGTATGAAAAGAGCTGACACCATGACCCGGTGAGATTATCCACATGTTGCTCTTACATATGACCATGACTGTCGCCCCCTGCAGGACACTCTGGAAAGCAGTTTCAGTGACACACTTATCCACCCTCGCTGTGTGTAGAAGAGGTTCCACAGGGCTTTCCTTCCTGCTGCTATCAGACTGTACAATGAGAACTGCTGAGCCTGTAAATGTCATTCATCTGTAAATAAGTAAAAACTAAAATCATTATGAAGCTAAGAAACATAGCTACTGCTTATTTTGTGTATTGTGTGCGTGCTCCCTGTGGTTCTTACTACGATGTGAAATCTCCTCACTGTGGGACAAATAAAGGATCTCTTATCTGATATAAGTTACATACATTTGAAGCTGGATGTATTTGCTGGATTACATTTCAGTCATGATATAATTCTGATAAACTAGTTAAAGTAGTTATTTTTAGAAAGACACAGTGAATATGTCTGTACAGTTACAAACACTGCTCTGCGAATACTGTGAAAATACTACAAACTGTGAGAGCGGTGAAAGATGAGGTTTCAGTGAGTGAGCAGCAGTCCACATCCCCGACTGAGATGTGACCAGTGGAGCAGGGCCCCCTGCTGGCTCACTGCGGTACTGCTCTGTTTCCATCACACTGAGGCTTTCTGCACCGAGCTGATTATCATTCTCCAACAGGACGAGACAGAGCACAGTCCTGATGAGATAGACCTTCTTTATCAGTGTCTCCATCTGATAACTGTGTGTGTGTGTGTGCATGTGTGTGTGTGTCAGGCACACACACACATGCACACACACTAGCCTTTCTCTACAGTCTGACAGTGCCTCTCTCTGACAGCCGCTGGGGATCTCCACAGTGTTTCTCAGAGATATCCCACTTCAGGCCAAGGGAGGTTCCCTCAGGACACTCAGAGCACAACGGGTGACTGCGCCGCTGAAGCCGCAGCAGCTGCACACCAGGAGCTTTCTCATCTGTAAAGTTGAAGGTCAGGAACTTTATTCTGATCCTCCTCACGGTGCTCTGTGATGTGGGGAACAGGACGAGTTTAACTGAGTCAAAGGAGAAACACATGAAATTATTGAAACATATTGACTTTCTGAAGCATCATGAGCTCATTAAGAGTTTGAAGTTACTCAGAGAGCAGCAGAAACTCTGTAAACTCTGGTCCATGGTCATTTCCTACATGTACGTCTGGTCTTACCATGTGTAAACTCTGGTCCATGATCATCTCCTACATGTACGTCTGGTCTTACCATGTGTAAACTCTGGTCCATGATCATTTCCTACATGTACGTCTGGTCTTACCATGTGTAAACTCTGGTCCATGATCATTTCCTACATGTACGTCTGGTCTTACCATGTGTATACTCTGGTCCATGGTCATTTCCTACATGTACGTCTGGTCTTACCATGTGTAAACTCTGGTCCATGATCATTTCCTACATGTACGTCTGGTCTTACCATGTGTAAACTCTGGTCCATGGTCATTTCCTACATGTACGTCTGGTCTTACCATGTGTAAACTCTGGTCCATGGTCATTTCCTACATGTACGTCTGGTCTTACCATGTGTTATCTCTGGTCCATGGTCATTTCCTACATGTACGTCTGGTCTTACCATGTGTAAACTCTGGTCCATGGTCATTTCCTACATGTACGTCTGGGTCTGATCCTAGTGGCTGCAGTTTCCTCGGTTGAATCCCCTTCGACCAATCAGAGAGCGGGGGAGGCGGGTGTTGTAGGTCGGTGTCGGTGACGTCAAGAGTTTGTCTGAATTTGCAGGTTGTAGTTTGTCGGAGAATGCGATAGTAAAATAATCTGTTCTGGTTCAATCCAAATATCAAGAAACTGACGCCGGAGCAAGAGGAATGTTTAGTAAATGTCATTGAAGCAGAGATTGTGGCTCTACTCCCCACGGGCTCCGATAGTGACAAAGGAGATGGCTAAAGCTAGGCTAATGCTAAAGCTAGGCTAAATGCTAAAGCTAGGCTAAATGCTAAAGCTAGGCTAAATGCTAAATGCCTCACTCACTCGGGCTCATTACATACGTCACAGTAAACTCAGATCCAATGGTTTCAATCTGCAAAAGGAGTTAGCCCCTCCCACCTGTTCACGGAGTCAATGCAGACAATCCAGACCTAAATATGAAATGAAATGAGTACCATGGTGCGGTAAGACCAGGCTATATCATAAGTAGTGCATGACAACACACACGCTAATGTCTTACTTACAGTATGAAGTAATTTTTTCTCCCGCAAAAATTCTCTATTTTACATTTAAGGAACAACATTTAATTGAAGCAAAAGCCAGATTCCGTGCAGATGGTTGAGTCTCTCAGGTTCTCACCCGACGCCACATGAAAGGCCGCAGTAACGATCCTCCGCTCTCTCTCGCTGACGGCAGATCTGTGTCTTTCCACTTCTGATGCAACGTCTCACTCATTACGCGACTATTGCAACCGCCGGAGAATCTTCCCCCTTCTATTTTTAGCCCCCGACGGAAACGCAATTGAAATTATTTTTGACTTCAGAGCCTCCGTTCGTACCGCGTGCCGTACAGTAGCGGCACTTTAATGTGGTAAATGTTGCTTATTCTCCCGGCGGAAGAGCAGGTGTGAAGCCGGAGCGCTCCCAGATGCTTGATAGTTGGGTTTTTATGGTACGTGTGTGATGTACCATGTGTAGCACCCTCATCTGTGTTTGCTCTGATAACAAGTGCCCACAGAGACCTCCACAGACGCAGCAGCAAAACACCGACACGGAGGAGAAGAAGGGAACGCCGCCCTTCCATCGGAGACTCGCGGCGTTCCACTTTGCCAT